CAGGCGCAGCACCCCCAGACTCCGCACACGCAGGCTCAGCACCCCCAGTCGCAGCACCCCCAGGCTCAGCACCCCCAGGCGCCGAACTCCCAGGCACAGTACCCTCAGCTCCAGCACCCGCAATCCCAGTACTTCCAGGCCCAGCACCCGCAGGCTCAGCACCCCCAGGCTCAGCACTCCCAGCAGCACCACCTGCAGCAGCACCTGAGTCACCTGTGACCTCGACAGGCTCAGTGACGGGAGGAGGGTCTACCTGAGAGACACCTGAAGGAGCAGGACCCTGAGGGGGAAGGGGGTCTACCGGAGGGGGACCAGGAGCAAGGAAAAGCGGCGGGGGAGGGAGGGGGGCAGTGCGGTAGGGGAAGAGACGGTAAAAAGGGACCGACTCGTCAAAGGTGACGTCCTGAGAGGCGAAGACCCGGCGCGAGGTGGGGTGGTAAAACTGCCAGCCCGGCGCGTCAGGGACAAAGCCAAGGAAGACACAGGGAAGTGTGCGGGAGGAGAGCTTGTCCGCGGACGTATCGCGGACAAGGGCACGAGCACCCCACACCCGGAAGCGCGACGCATCGCCAACCTCCCCCGTCCAACGCAGTGTGGGCGAGGTCTCCGGCAAGGAGACACGGGGCCAGAGGTTGAGCTGATGCGCGGCGTACCGGACAGCAAACGGCCACAGAAAATGGGGAGCCGCCGCGTGGACCAAGGAGGTATGAGCGACCTCCATGACCAGGCCAATGCGGCGCTCAGCAACCCCATTCTGCTGTGGGGAGTCCGGAAGCGTGAAGGTCTGCTCGATGCCCTCCGCCTGACAGAAGGTCCTCAAGAGATCGGAGGAAAACTCACCACCTCTGTCAGAGTGCAGACGCAGGACAGGAAGATCCGTCCGGAAACGGCGGCGGAGCTGGAGACGAACTGTGCGGATCCAAGGGATCAGAACAGCAGGGACCTCACCCTTGGTGCGCAAGGGGAAGACCGTGGTGTAACGCGAGTAGTCGTCGACAACCAGCAAAAAGTACCGCTCACCGCCCTGGCCACGAACGCGGGCTGGGCCCCACACGTCCAGGTGGAGGGTCTGCAGAGGAGCCTCTGTCGGGGGGAACGAGGAGGAGTGAGGAGCGGCGCGCTGCCGCCCCTCGACGCAAGGAAGGCAAGGCGGCGCAGGCGAGGCAGGGAGGGGAGGGAGGGACCTGGGAAGACCAGACACAAGGCGGCGACGGTGCATGCCACGGAGGCGTGGCAAGGAGGGGTGACCCAGGCGGTGGTGCCAGAGAAGAGTCTGGTGCGACAGGGAACGACACTCATATTCGTGTGGCTCATATTGAAATGCAACTTTCAAAACCACCTTTTTAAGCCATTTCGGCTTGGTTCTTGCGCAAAGAGAGTTCGGCGGCTTTGATTTTGGCTGTTTTTGCCGATAAATGCTTAGTCTACGCATAATGTCAGAATGTTATTATTGTCTAGCCTGCAGTGGGGTACTCTATAGCGAGTACAGCCCAATCTAGGGTTTGCTATTTGTACTCAACTGCCTGCTAGTTCAACCCCTCTCCTTTCATTCATTCTTGCCTAGTCCTGTTAATATGCTATCAGAGCAGGTCGACCCTCCTGGGTCGATCCTGTGGGTGGGCCCACCACCTAAGCCTTCCGCTGCTACTGCTACTGCTACTGCTACTCCCTGTCCGCCGCGCGCCCCGTGGCGCGCGGCGTCGAAACTAGGGTTTTCAGCCCGCCGTGCGCCCCGAGGCACGCGGCGGTTTTCTGCCCGCCGTGCGCCCCGAGGCGCGCGGCGGTTCTCTGCCCGCCGTGTGCCCCGAGGCGCGCGGCGGGTTCCTGCCCCGTCACTCGGCACGTCGCCCCCGGGAGGCGCTGCGACGGGCGACGGGGACCCGCGCGTCGCCCCCCGTCGCCCGTCGTGGCCTGCACGCGGCCCGTACACCCGGCACGCGGCCCGTACGGGCTGCGCCAGGCCCGCGCGCGGCCCGTACGGGCTGCGCCAGGCCCGCGCGCGGCCCGTACGGGCTGCGCCAGGCCCGCGCGCGGCCCGTACGGGAAGCGCCAGGCCCGCGCGCGGCTCGGGCCGCCTGCGCGCGGTTCGGGCGGCTCTACCAGGCCCGTGGGCGGCCCGTTCCTCGCTGCTCCTGCCCTCTCCACTGTCCCCCGTGCTTCTACCGGCGCCTCACCCCTCCTACAGCCCGTTCTCCTAAATTAGGGTTTGGGGGTGAAGAGTGTGGGGGTGGCGGCTATGGGGGTGTCGGTTGTGAGTTCCTCCCCCTGCTCCTCCTCCTCCCTCGTCTCCCTCTGCTACAGCTGCCGCTGAGGGGGGTGGTGTGTGGGAGCCTAGGGTTTGGGGTTTAAGGGGGGTACCGTCGGAGTGGAGCTAGGGTGTCAGCAGGGGGTGTGTGAGAGGGGCGTGGGACGGTCGGGGGAGATTGCGTGGAGGTAGCCGTCGTGACGCCAGCAGCGCCAGTAGTCCGGATGCCCTCGCGCGTTTCGGTAGCCCAGCGAGCCTGCTTCGCCAGTCGCCTGTGGGTCCGTTGCTCCTGTGTGTGCTCGTCGTAGCCGCGGAGCCAGATACTCCCGTAGTCCGGTGCCCTCGTGCGCTCGGTAGCCACTGTGCGCGCCGCTCCTGTTGCCCGTGTGTCTGCAGCTTCAGTCGGCGCCTTTCATCTTCTCTCCTCTCGCCAGCCCTCCTCCTCCTCGCTTGCCCTCTGTGACTGCCTCTAGCTTTGCTCATAACTGTGAACTTTAAACTATTGCTTCTTGAACTTGTGCTCAGAATGTGTGGTGACATTGTGATCCACCCTGAGCTTGTACTGCTTTGCTTGCTCTGCTGATTACACCCCACTTTGGCTATGGGGGTGTGTCAGAATGCTATTATTGTCTAGCCTGCAGTGGGGTACTCTATAGCGAGTACAGCCCAATCTAGGGTTTGCTATTTGTACTCAACTGCCTGCTAGTTCAACCCCTCTCCTTTCATTCATTCTTGCCTAGTCCTGTTAATACATAATCCCTATAGGCGTCGGGAAAAGGATTCATCAACCTGAATGTTATTGTGTATTCGAGTGGCTCATATTCAGATACACCCTTTCAAATCTTTTTGGCTTGGTTCTTGCGCAATGAAAAGTTTGGTGCCTATGATTTCGACAAATGCCGACAAATGCCTAGAAAGCGCATGAATCCATAAAGGCGTAGGGAAAATCATTCAACAGCCTGAATGCCAATGCATATTTGAGTGGCTCATATTCAAATACACTCATTAGAGCCTTTTTAGCTTGCTTCGTGCGCAAAGAAAAGTTCGGCGCATATAATTTCAGCTGTTTTTTCCGACAAATGCTGAAAGCGAATGAATCCCTATAGGTGTAAGGAAATGCATATAACAACCTGAATATTATTGCATATTTGAGTGGCTCCTATTCAAATACACCTATTAGAGCCTTTTTGGCTTGGTTCTTGTGCAAAGAGAAGTTCGGTGCCTATGATTTCGGCGGTTTTTGCCGATAAATGCTTAGAAAGAGCATAAATCCCTATAGGCGTATAGAAATGCATTCAACAACCTGAATGTTATTGCATATTCATGTGGCCCATGCTCAAATATACATATTAGAGCCATTTTTGCTCGGTTCTTGCGCAAAGAAAAGTTCTGCGCCTAAGGTTTCGGCTGTTTTTGCCGCCAAATGCTTAGAAAGCGCATGAATTGCTAGAGGCGTTGGGAAAAGCATTCAACCATCTGAATGTTATTGCATATTCGAGTGGCTCATGTTCAAATACACCGATTGAAACATTTTCGGCTTGTATCTTGCGCAAAGATAAGTTTGGCGCCTATGATTTCGGTTGTTTTTGCCGACAAATGCTTAGATTGCGCATGAATCCCTATAAGCGTAGGGAAAAGCATTCAACAACCTGAATGTTATTGCATATTCGAGTAGCTCATATTCAAATGCACTCATTAGATCCTTTTCGGCTTGGTTGTTGCGCCAAGAAACGTTCGACGCCTATGATTCCGGCTTTTTTTTCCGACAAATGCTTAGAATGCGAATAAATTTCCTGGACCGATGTAAAAAAGTTGCGAATTAGCCGACGGTTTTTGCGCGCGCTCGTGCTCTCCACGCCCTCTCCCACCTTTTATGTGGTTTTGGCTCCAAATGCGCGCAAACACGCCGCCCCCACCCCTATGAACGGGCCCATAGTGGGCATCCCGGACCATTTCTAGGGCAAAACGCAAATGCGTCCGGACCGGTGTAGAAAATTTGCGAATCAGCCGGCGGTTTCGCTCGTGCTCGCCACACCCCTCCCGCCTTGCAGGTAGTTTCAGCTACATATTCGTCTTCGGAGGGGCCGCGGTCTCCTGGTCAAGCCAGCGCATCAAGTGCGCGGGGCGAGATCTTGCCCGGCAATCCCTCAACATTCACGTAATTGCCCATGTGACTCTAGATCAACGGCCCACATAAATGTTCACCTCCACCGCAACATCCGAGCTGTTCACCTTCCGTGCTGCTCTAGTTGGCATGGGGTTTAGATCCGTATCTTGCTCTCAATCACCAGCATCCATCTCAGCCGCATGTTTCTGTCAGGGATACCATCGTTTGATCCAAGCCCTTTATTCAACGTACCCTGGTTGCTGCCGCAGAGGTAAGAGCAGTTGGGGAGGACACGTTCTATAGGTTTGGTACATTGGGTCAAAATGGGGAATAGATACTGTACGGATATAAGCACAGCAGTCAGATTGGCATACCTCGCAGTTGTTGAGGTGGAGCACACATTAATTGTGGTGGAGTCCAGTTTCCCAACAATTGCGATCTGCTCTTTAACTATAAGCTGCACGATACCGTAGCATGTTTCCAGAAGTTTCAATACCGTAGTACATCAGTAGCAACTCTGCTATTATCATTCCAAAGATTGCCTTGCCTAGCTGCCTTTGCCATCTTGCAGTGTTCCATCCACAGTGCTAGAAAACGTTGTGTACGGTACGTACGCGCCAAGCACCATCAATCACCATCCCAATCGCATCAATCACCATCCCTGACAGCCTTGACCCACGCAACCTCCAGTCTAAACGGGCCCTCGCCATGCACTGGAAACGCGTCAGACTCCACGTCAGCAGCATCAGAACAAAAATCACCGCCCGCAGCAGCAGTATTATCTCCGGATGTGGCTTCAGCAATGTGAGGAGGGTGTGTGATTGGGGCAGTGACACTGAGATGTGGAGAGTGCATGGGAGGGGTGCTGACGTTGACTGATAACCCCATGCCCACCACTCTCCGCGCATTCATCTCCATCCCTCCACCACCACTGCCCCCTTCCCCCTCTCTTCCTCCCCAACCGCCGCCCACCACCCTGCCTTTCCATGTAAAGCGGTAGCTGGCCAGGGGAATCTGTGGGAAGGGAGGGAGAGGGGAGAGGCAAGGATGGAAAGAGGGGGAAGAAGAGAAATGTTTTATGCACTCACTACCCCACCACCCTGCCCTTCCTGTAAGGTGGTAACTGGCAAGGGGAATCTGTGAGTGGGAGGAGAAGGGAAGAGGGGGATGGATAGAATTACCTGACACCCTACCCCATCACCCCGCCTTTCCAGGTCAGGAAGAGAGGGGAGGAGGGGGGGGGGAGGGGGAGGGGGAAACGAAACATCATGAATTAGGGGAGGAAGGCGGGAGAGAGAGAAGAGGTTGATTGAGCAGCCCCCTTGACGCTTCTCCTCACCACCCTGACCTTCCACGTCAAGTGCTCTCCTCACTGCCTGCCCTCTGAGATGCGTGTAAAAAAACTTTAGCCCTCTGCGCAGGGAGCGATGGGATCCTGACTATCACCTACACCACTCTTCACCCCTTCTCCTCTCACCTGCATCACTCCCCACTGCCCTCGAGGCAAGGGCAGGAACGCCTGCCATGTGTTCTCCTCACTGCCTGCTGGCTGAGATGTGTGGAGTGGGGAGAGGAGACTACAGCCTCTCATTTGCACCACTCTTCACCTCTTTATTCTCACCTGCACCACTCCCCACCACCCTCGTGGCGAGGGCAGGAACGCCTGCCATGTGTTCTCCTCACTGCCTGCTGGCCCGCCCACCCACCCCTCTGTGCGCAGCTGATAGGGAGAGAGAGGAGAAGTAGGGCAGGAGAAGGGAGGAGCGGGGAGGAGAGGGGCGGAGAGGGGCGGGGAGGGGCGGAGAGGAGCGGGGAGAGAGAGATGTAAGGTCGCAACACCCTCACCCTGCCATGTGTTCTCCTCACTGCCTGCTGGCCCCCCCACCCACCCCTCTGTGCGCAGCTGAGAGATTAGGGAGAAGCACGGGGGGAGAAGGGAGGAGAGGAACGGCGAGAAAAGCTGACAGAGAGGAAAGAAGGGGGAAAGGGGGCAGGAGAGATGGGAGGGGAACAGAGAGCAAGTGGGAGGAGAAACAGAGAGAGCTGCAAGGTCGCATCCACCCCACCCAACCCCACCCCTCCCCACCCCTCTGTGTGCAGTTGACAGGGAGGAAAGAAAACGGAGGAGAGACGAGAGTGGGATGTGTGAGAGAGTGAGTAACGCGGGAAGGGGGGAGTCATCGGTACCATACAGAAGAGGACAGCAGGGCAGAGGGATGCAGAGTGGTGCAGTTCAGTATAAGGATGAGAGAGGGGAGGGCATACTGGGGGACGTAGGAGCTACAGGGTAAGAAGGGAGCGCGGCAAGGGGAGGGGGAGGGGGTGCGGGAGGAAAAGGGGTAGGTTGGGGGAAGGGGGAGGGGGAGAGGGAGGGCGTACGGTGGAGAGGTAGGTGCGGCCGTCCCCCCGCACGAGCAGGTGCAGCGAGGAGAAGGCGTCCAGGTCAAGACGGCAGGATGCATGCGCCTGGGGGAGAGGGTGAGGAGGTGGCACACGGCGGCGGGTGGAGGGGACGGGTGTTCAGATATGTGGAGAAGAGAGCAGGTGCAGCGAGGAGAAGGCGTCCAGGTCAAGACGGCAGGATGCATGCGCCTGGGGGAGAGGGTGAGGAGGTGGCACACGGCGGCGGGTGGAGGGGACGGGTGTTCAGATATGTGGAGAAGAGAGCAGGTGCAGCGAGGAGAAGGCGTCCAGGTCAAGACGGCAGGATGCATGCGCCTGGGGGAGAGGGTGAGGAGGTGGCACACGGCGGCGGGTGGAGGGGACGGGTGTTCAGATATGTGGAGAAGAGAGCAGGTGCAGGGAGGAGAAGGCGTCCAGGTCAAGACGGCAGGATGCATGCCCCTAAGGGAGCGGGGAAGTGGCGAACACACGGCGGTGGGTTGCTGGCAAACCTTTTTACGTCTCTCTTTCGGTTCAATATTTGAGTCGACTCAAGAACAGACTCTTCAAATGCACGAATCTGAACCAAATGGCTCACCTCGACCGTTCGAATGCCAGCGAAGCCTCCCTTGAGCAGCCGCCCTCCCCGCGCTTCCGGCCCTCCGCCTTCCACGCCCTCCCCCTGCACGCGTCTGGACAAGCTGCCTGCGAACACGGCTGTGGAGGCAGGGGAGAGACACACGGGGCACACGGGGCACACGGGGCACACGGGGCACACGGGGCACACGGGGCACACGGGACACACGGGGCAGATGAGCACATTGGAACCCCGACAGCCTTGGGAACCCAAGAGCCTTGGGATGTGAACTGGCCCCCGTTCACAACCTGGAAACCCGAGAATCCGGTGGGTGAGGAAAGAGGTTTTGTGTAAGCATGCCAACATTGCTGCTGCCAGGGAGAGGGAGGAAAAGGTGTGCGCGGAAGGAGAAAGTTGGGCAAGGCAGCGAGGTGAGAAGGGAGTGAGAGAGAAGAGAGGGAGAGGAGAGAGGGAAGAAGGCGGGTGACGGGGAAAGGATCTCACCAAATGAGGACGGAGGTTCGAAGTGATGGTGCTGCTGCCGGCGCATAGCACGTGCTTCCCAGCCAAGCTGGGAAGGTGGGTGGGGTGGGTGCACTATTCCTGCGCTGCCATCCATTCTATCTCTGCCCATCATGTCTCCACGCCCCTGGTCCCCGCCCATGCCTGAAAGCTCTGTGCCCGACCCTGCAGGCTCGGCGCTACCGGACGTGGCATGGGCGAGGGTGGCGGTTGACGAACCTGAGGGGCGGCAGGTTGGGAAGTTGAGGGGCGGGGGAGAGAAGGACAGAGGGACTTGGGGGTCTGGGGCTGGTAAGAAGGTGAGGGTGGGGAGGAAAGGTATACACATAGCAACGCACCTCGCACCACCTCACAGCACCTTCCAGAGCCTCGCAGTACCCAGGCGCACACCGTCTCACCGCCGTAGATGGCGTCGGAATACACGCGCCACGCGTCCATCGCGCCCTCCGCGCCCTGCTCGCCCCGCGCACCCTCCTCTCCCTGCGCGCCGTGCTCGCCCCGCGCGCCCCGCTCGCCCCGCGCGTCCGCCCTCGCGAAGTGAAACAGCACGCGCTCGCTTGGCGGCTGCAGCTCCTCCACCCGCCATGCCACCGCTGCGCGCCGGCAGGGACGGCAGGGTGGAGAGGGGTGGAGAGCGATGAAGAGGGACTCTTATTTGGGGGATTGGGATCTCTGAGGGGCGTGAATGTCAAGCGCGGAAAACGGCGAGTGAGGCGCGGGATTGCGGCGTACCTCGTCGCGATGCCGTAGATGCGGCTTCTGCCAGGCGCTTCCACATCGGAGATTGACTGTAGCGAATCGGAATGGAGCTAGCTAGTTGATAATTGGCCGAGAATTGCACGGCATCAATGTTCACCCGTTCTTGACATGTTCCCACTTTCTTGTTTCGTGAAGGACTTCATGTACATAGTGTAAAAATCATAAGTCTATGTACCTACGAACTTTGTAAATAAAGTCACTAAGGCGCTATATGCAAATTCCACTCTAGACAAAAACTCTGTGGCCTTTTCTGCCATTCCTTGACCTGGGACAGTTTTGGCATTTGCATCCCCTTCTGTCCCTCTGTACTAGTACATACCCTCTTTTCAAGAGAGAGATGCACCAAGTCTCGATCCAGTGACCCAGTTCAGGACGTTTCATGGGGGGCATTGCAGGACCATGGATCTGTGAAGAGCTCTACAGTTTGGTTTGGACCAAGGTGTTTGACAATAACTACAATCACTACAAGTACCTCCAGTACAATGTGCGACTAATTCAAGGATGCATTACTGCAGTGGCTGTTGGATAGAAATGGTGCATAAAGTATGCCACGAAAACCCCCACAAGCGCTCCTGCCACCACCTGCCACAACATTGTGCAAGGGATGACAGAGGTTTTAAAAAACACAGTGGCTTGTTACAATGTAACAACCTGACGGTACAGTATGAGCACGTGGTACCTGGAGGCTTGTACTGTGCACATGCCTGGTGCTGCTATGCAATTCATACCGTTGATGCTAATGATTCAATGATTGTGTAATGCTGTAGCCTTTATTATTTGTGTGTCTACCATATTGCAGTCACACCTGTGATAAAGTTTGTAGACTGCGCATAACCCTGTGGCGGAGTGTGGTAACAGCACTTCTGGCTGTGGTAGAGTGTGGTAACAGCACTTACGGCTGTGGTAGAGAGTGCCTACCTGAGGTTGTGTGTGTCCAATGGGCTCCTTGAGAGGCCGAGACTCAGCCAAGGGATGGTCTGGAGGCAGCTCATACACGATCTGGTTTAGGACCTGTGAGGTGGGCAGACAGCACAATGAAAGGCGAGATTTTAGTGGTTTCACCAGCGATGCTGTTTGATACACGAATGGCTTGACCATGGATGAGCAATCGCGTGGGTAAGACGAGAAGAGTGTGAGACAATGTGGAATGGGTAGCAGTAAGTGAAGGGGCCGATGTGATGTAGGATGACGATCATCTCATCCCAGACAACTGCAGTGCGTATGGAAGCAATGATCTTGCAGGATCATGCACAGCGACATGACCTCACAAGACTTGGTCGAAGCCACAGTTCACGTGTGCCCCAGCATCCGCATACTTCACAATTTTCTCTGTTTTACTTCGCACAGACAGTTTTTCCTTCTTACGAGCTGCTTACAATCATTCAGAAGTCATTCAGGAATTTCACGTACCTCTGCTTGCCGGCCTGCCTGAAGCCGAACCCCCGAGGCGTCATACATGACCTGCAATGCGCGAAGAAACATCCGAGAATGGCAGTCAGCAAGCAATTTCGTCTTGAACCAGATTCACGTTCAGCATAAGGGTCCCGTACGAGCGATGGGGTAACAAGTAGCTTTAACGACCAGTAACGTTCACGTTCAGCGAAAGGAAGTGGCAGGAAAAAGGAAGGTTCCAGGGGACTTACAACGACGGCGAAGACGAGGCACGCGGCGAACAGCGGGCTCGCCGTGCCTTCTTGGAAGGCGACAGCGCACGCCAGACCCATGACGGACGACGAATGCGACGACGGCATGCCGCCGGACCCTAAGATTCGCTTAAAATCCCATCTCTTCTCCCAGTGCCTGCTCACGGTTGAAATGGAGTAGAGAGCGTAGACGAATTTGCGGAAAACTGTGCCTCAATCCTATTGGGTGTACGTCATAACCAGATTTCTCTAAAGTTACGAACGAAAACGAGCGGATCCACACTTGGCGTAGGAATGCCAGCAACGAACGCTGGTTGACGCATTCGTGCCCTTTTTTTACTGGATAAGTGAGCCAGTGTACGCCGTTGAACGGCGACGAGAACCAATTGATGGAGCAGTGACGAGGAGACAAAAAACTGTAGTTTTAACTGATCGTCGACGCGATTGCGACGAGAGATGCTCAGACGATACCTACCATAATGTAAAGGGCTTGAGGAATTGGGCGACCCAGAGCGAGATAAACGCGACAATCAACGGCCGGTTTTGGAAGATCATCATGAATCCTTGGTGAGAGGGGAGTAGGAGGGAGAATTTGGAAGGTCCTGCCGCATCAGCAATAACCGCTACTTCTTCCATTCCGACCTAATGACTCTTAAATATAAGTTTGTACAACCTGATTCGATAGGGAGAACTGATCAGGCCAGCTTAGTCCTGATATAAGGCAAGCTCAAGAATCACTGGCCTTGCCCTGTTGAAACTCTTCTCCAGACTCTAGCCAACCGTAACTCCCTGCTCCACACAGCACAACACGGACGAATCTCAAATGCTTGGTCCTTTCCTCAAAGTCTTCTGACTGTATCCGTTTGCCTGCCTTGCCTATGGTTGCCTGCGTGAGCGTGCGTGCCTGTGTCTGTCATCTTCCCGATGCCTAGAGCTTGCCGCTTCCTACTTTCACCTCCCCTATGCTCAGCGAATCTGCTCCCTGGATTTCCTTCCCTCCGTTTCCGTCAACGGTTACTCTAAAGAAATGGACCAATCGGGTTTCACTGTTTCCCATGCGAGTTTCGTGAGGGTCCGGTGAGCCGCGAAACGGGCTCGCACCGTCACTACACACAGATCGGACGGCCGCGATTGTTGGGTCGTGGTGATCCATCGCAGGTAAAACCGCTGGGCTTGTAACGCAGTCTTAGTCTGTATCTTATATATGTATTCCCATATCTTAATTTCTAGTCATGAAAACTATTAGGCGATTCAAAATGAAGTTTTCAACCAGTCAAACACAATTTAGCGATGCACTCATCCATCACCATACATAAGAAAACATGGAATGTTTAAATATTGTATTTTTTGGAATATTTGCAAGTCTCACGAGGTTATGAGAATCAGGCTGATAAGAATCAGAATCACGTGTAATCACTAGTTGGGTAGAATGCCTTTTCCGGATCGTTCTATATTATTATACCAATGCTTAGTGTATCTTCTCAGCACCGCTTCCGGTTATTCTAGATATGAATGGGTTGATCAGTTGGACCCAGCAGGTGTCAGAAGATCAGTTCCTCGGCCAAATCAACGACGAGTAACAACAAATATGCGATGCGAAGGCTTTTCGCCATCTTCGCCCATTTTGCCTAGGCCTTTCACATCTGCAGAGCAGCGTCAGGGAGTGGATCAGCTCAACCCCCAGATCCCAACCGCAGCTGCTTGCCTAGATTCTTTATCCACAGCTGGGATTCACTTAGTTCCTAGTGGTCGGAACAACGGCTTCGAATTCAAACCATTGGGCTTGCCGCGTTCCAAACTGACACGACGACTCTGCGGCTCCAGATGAGAGGACAATCGACGGTTCCTAGATCACGGAGTCCAACGTTCACCAGCGAAATCCCGCAGCTCCCGCCTTTGTCAACGGAATCTCGCTGAAAAAAGTCGGTGTCGTTTGTCTCGCGTAGTCGCTGAGGCGAAATGAGGGGACAAGCAAACGGCGTAAACTTGGCAAATTTTGTTTCCCTTCCCTGTTCGGCAGATTCATGTGCCACGCGGACGATTCTCAACCAGCCACCGAAATGGACTCTCGACTCTCCCTGTCATGGACAAAAAATAAGCCTGACCGAACCAACCATTCGCAGCCACCATCGCTTTTCCTCGCGACCCAACGCAGTCGGTTAGCCTGTGGACCAATGCGAAACTTGCTAGGGTTGCCGTGACGAAACACGCAGAAGGTCCGAACCTACGGCTGCGATCTGAGTTACCAAGAGAGTTTCAGTCAATCCAGTGATTCTGGACGGTAGATCTGAAGAGTGTTGTTGTGAGGAAAGGAAAGGAGATGCAGTTGGTGACCCCTCCGCCTCATTCCAGCGTCACCGTCGTCTCTCGCCTCATTCTCGCCTGAGCCTCGGATTTCACACCGCTTTCGCCTCTTGCTCTCATTTTTTTCACGCTCAGCTTCGTCTGCTCGTTTTCTTAGAGCTGCTGCGACTGCGGAAAGGCGAGCCGCTAGGAATATCGTTTTCTATTCAGGCCTGGCTTGATGTAGAAGCTGCGTTAACGGAAAGAGCCTCTTTCCTGAGGAAATCGCGTGCTGGGAAGAGGAAATGGCGTGTCGGAAAGAGGGGATCGCATGTCAGGAGAGGAAATGGCGTGTCAGGAAGAGGAAATGGTGTGTGGAAGCCTGGAAACTTTGACTACGAAAGAACAAGCGCGAGGATGGCGATTTTCGTATGAAAGGTATGTCTGGGTGAGAGCGTTTTTCCACGTTTCCAAGTCTTATTTAGTGGTGTAGTACGCTTTCGTTTTAGCACACGCAAGATTGTTGAGTGGCGCGTCTGACGTATGACTGCATCCTGATTGCATGTCGCAGGTTTGTTGGAGAGGCGACATGTCACATGAACCACCAACACCATCTCCAACAACATTTACGATTATCGTAGAGTGCGTGCGATTTCGGGGAGTGCGTGCAACTTGCAGCTCAGGTATTTCGCGAACCCACACCCACTCATAAAGTCAATTTCGCGAATCGATTTCCTGCATGTCGCACGCACATAGTTGCTTTTCGGCTTCGCGTTTCAATCTTGACGAGCAATTTCGCCGATCGATTTCGTTCAAAGTTGTCGCGTTTCAGTTTCCCGTTTCAATTCTGCGATAATACATCTCGAATTTCAATTTCGCGATCTAATTTCGCAGATCAATTTCGTATCACAGTATGTCGTTTCGCGAGCTGCTTCCCTGGCGTACGTTTCCCAATCGATTTCGCAAATGGTTGTCGCTTCGTCTTTCCACCCACTGCAGGCCGCCGTGCGTCACGCCGTTGCCCACCCCCCCGAACGGATGCCACACTGGTGGGTACCGCGTTGGACCACTCTCGCGACCTGCGATTTCGGGCCACTCTCTACGCGGCTGCTCTCCACCCACAGCTAAGCTAAGTACACCTCGCTGCCTCTCTCCTCTCAACCCTTGTACTTGTGTTGGCTTTCATGCCTCGATTGCACTATACTGCACACTCCCTCCCTCACTGCCCTTTGTCACACTCAAGAGACCTCCCTCCCCCAAGGTAGCAAGGTATCAGGTACGTGCTCAGGTATTAGGTTTAGTATGGTTCAGCTGGTATGAGGTCTCTTGGGTGTGCCACTGCAGCAGTCCATTCATGCTCTCACTTCACTCACTTGTCCTTGCTTCTTTCCTCACTGCCCTCCCGACTCCTCAGTTCCCGTCCTCTCCTCCCTTCTCTCTGTCCTGATCTGCCCCCTCTCGTCCCAGCAGGTCGCTTACACTGGAGTGGCAGTGGCGGGGGACATGGAGTGCACAGGCAGCAGCTGCTCTCCACCCAACCCACCCGCAGCTAAGCTAAGTACCTCGCCCTGCCTCTCTCCTCCCAACGCTCATACTTGTGTTGCTTTACATGCCGCACTTGCATCATATATCAAACTCCCTCCCTCACTGCCCTTTGTCACACTCAAGAGACCTCCCTCCCCCAAGGTAGCAAGGTATCAGGTATGTGCTCAGGTATCAGGTTTAGTATGGTTCAGCTGGTATGAGGTCTCTTGGGTGTGCCACTGCAGCAGTCCATTCATGCTCGCATATTTCATGCTCTCACTTCACTCACTTGTCCTTGGTTCTTTCCTCACTGCCCTCCCAACTCCTCAATTTCCGTCCTCTTCTCTCTTCTCTCTGTCCTGATCTTCCCCTCTCGTCCCAGCAGGTCGCTCTCATGGGAGCAGCAGTGGCGGGGGACATGGAGTGCACAGGCAGCAGCTGCTCTCCACCCAACCCACCCACATGCAGCTAAGTACCCGCGCTGCCTCCTGCGTTCATTTTCGTTCCGTTTCAGCCCTTGCTGCATCTCCTGCCGCTTGTGCATTCAAACGCAAGCCTATGGTTGAGCCAAAGCTTCAAGCCACAGACCCATTTTCTTGTGTAAATTTCCCCAGGTACCGCAGGTTTTCTCTCAGGTATGCAGGTAAGCCTCCCTAGGTGTGTACCTCTCTTGGGTCTGTGGCTTGTAGCTGAGGCTGCACCAGTGGCCCCCTTCTCTGCCCCCACGTGCCTAGCTGAGGCTGCACCAGTGGCCCCCTTCTCTGCTCCCACGTGCCATCTCATGCACTCCTCTCACATTTCTACCCGTAGCCGCTTACTCACTTCTTTTCGGTTCTCTCCTTGCCGGTTGACGGGAGGGGCGTGGGGGTCAACACCGCCACTCCCTCACGCTCCTCCCCTGTGGCTGTGCAGGTGCAACGGTGGGAGGGGAGGGGGCAGCACTTCACTGGGCTGGGGCGGGAAGGGAGAGTATCGGGCTGGGTTGTCTGAAACAAGGTGAGCCTCTTTTTCCTCGTGCACTCATGCTGCTGCTTGTTCTTCTCCCCATGCTCACTTCCTGTTTTTGCTCCCTTGCTTCCTTGTAGCTTCTGCCCACTCTTCTTCCCATTCTCTCTGCTGTCCCTTGATCCCCTGCCTACCCCTGCCTTGCTCCCTCCCTCCCAGTACAATGAAGGCTGTAGCAGGGCAGCACGGGGGGGCAGCAGCAGGGCAGCAGCGGAGGGGAGGGGAGGGGCAGCGGCAGCAGCAGGGGAAGCAGAGTAGCAGACTGGGAGTGGCAGTGGCGGGGGACATGGAGTGCACAGGCAGCAGCTGCTCTCCACCCAACTCAACTACAGCTAAGTACCCCGCCCCTCCTCTCGCCTTGTGTTGCTTTGCTTCTCATGCTTGCACCATTCATTACACTCTCTTTTTCACTGCTCTTTGTCACACCCATTAGACCACCCTCCCCCAAGGTAGTAGGTATCTTTTTTTTGGTACAGCCTCAGGTATAATTCTAGTTTGGTTCAGCTGGTATGAGGTCTCTTGGGTGTGCCACTGCAGCAGTCCATTCATGCACGCATCATGCTTGGGCTTACTGCACTCTTCACTTTCACTTGTCTTGGCTTCTTTCCTCACTCCTCTCCCCACTCCTCTGCGCCCCCTTCACTTCCCCGTTTTCTCCCCCCCCTCCTGTCTTCCTGTCCCTGTCCTGATCTTCTCCCTCTCGTCCCAGCAGGTCGCTCACACGGGAGTGGCAGTGGCGGGGGACATGGAGTGCACAGGCAGCAGCTGCTCTCCACCCAACCCACCCACAAGCAGCTAAGTACCCGCGCTGCCTCTTGCGTTCA